AGGGCACAACGCTGTAGCTTTTAACAGCTTAGTGAAGAAATACGTTGTCGACGAAACGTCACAGGGGAATCCGCCTACAAAACGAACTTCCACACAGCGCACAGCGTCGACGAATCGTGTGTCCATGACATGTATGTCCTTTAAACGTTGTCCACGAAACTTGTTTTCACAAAACGCGTTTCGAAGAAACGATAGGAATCCAAAGAAAGGTCTTATTTTTACCAATGTTTGAGGAAAATCGGCACTTTGACTTGCTTGTACTTTGACGGGAAAAAAGCAAAAAACTTTGTTCGGGCGACAAAACCTCCAACGTACATGTCACATGAAAGTAAAACAACTCTCCCCTTCTCCATGAAGAGCAGTGTGGTCATGATACGAAAAACAAAAGCGCTTCGACACCTTAGGCGACACTGTGGCGTCAACGTTTGCAAGTTTAGAAATCAACAGCGCCCGCAGGTAGGCAGCCCGTAAACTGCCCTTGTGTTCCTCTTTTGTATGCTTAGTGTTCTAGCCAAGAAAGCAAGGTAGTTCATATTCGTCGTCCACGGCGCCAGCAATGACGGCGAGAGCCGTATGCTGCCTCTATGGCTGCCCCAAGCAAGTCGAACAAAAAAAGTCTTTCTTTTTACTTGTGGGGTTTACATCTTATTATAGGGGAAAGAAAGAGAAATAAAGGCTTTTGTCTTCCTACCAATGCTTCCCCTTATGTCTTTCCATATACTTTTGTTTTATATGACCTCCTTTCCCCGGGGCTCAGACTTTAGGGGAGAGTAAAGGGAACAATGGTGAAAGTATCGAATTTCATGTGTGGCGCAGAAGAGAGCGGTCAGCGTGATTTCCGCAGATTTTGCAAGTGTAAATGTATTCGTAAGTTTTGGTGGTTAGCCGGAACGTCTACATAGACTACGACGTCATTAGCGGTAAATGTTGAAGCCGTGATTTCGTTGTGAAGTGGAAGACGGACGAGTTGGAGATCTTGAAACAGTTTAGATAAATCAATGACAAAGACGAATTTATCAAGAACTTTTTAAACGCATCACTTGCAAGAAAGTGTTTCAGTTTTCGAGCCACAAGGGAGGCACATGTAACCTGTTGGAGCACAAATGTCAAGTGGCAGTTCCAACGCTTTGGGGATACCTTGAGAAACCGAAGCCTTCTTCCTCCGTGACAAGTGAAATGAAGGAGCGTGTCGTCAAGAGCGCCGAGGAGTTTATTGCGAGGGATCTGAGACCGTTTAAAGCGATTGCCCGACCAGGTTTGGAGGACACTGGCATAGTGCTTCCTTGATATTGGATCTGAGTGGGGCAAGTCTCGACGCGGCATTACTGCTGCAGCACCCCACCACGGTGTCTTGGAATGCGGCACGTATCGCCGACGAAACAAGAAAGCTTGTGAAAGAGGTAATACGCTTCATCATTGAGTTGCAAAGCGCAGCGGAAATCTTTGATTTGTGGAAAGATAATTAGCGAAACAACTGTTACCTTGGTATAACGCTGCACTACATGGAGAACTTCAAGGTGGTGCAGCGCGTACTTTGCACTACAGAATTTGACAAGGAGAGCAAGAGAAAAGGTGAAGACATCCGATCTGCAGTACTCCAAGCGCTGCAGAGGTTTGACGTTAGAGACTGTATTACAAACTTTGCATTTGTTACGTGCAGAGACACGAATGGAATCTCGGCAATGCAATCATTGGTGCGCCTAAAGTGTGCGGCATTCTAAACACTGCTCTTGAGAAAACCATGCGTGATGTCCGATGGGATGATGCCATTGCTCTTCTATATTTTCTCCGAGCCTGTCGAGCCCTGGTCACGTTCTTCAAGCTACCTGGCCTGCAGTGCCGTTAAGACTTCGCACTCCAAGAAGACGTCGAGACCTGGTGGATGAGCAAATTAGTCATGTTCTCGTCTCTTTATTTTTTTTTCGAGAGAAATGCGAAATTTTTTGAAAGAGAAATGCGAAATAAGCCGCGTCGACGAAATACAGTAAGGTACTTTTCAGTGTGTCGTAAACTTCCGTAAGCCCTCAAGACAGTGATTAACTTGAGTGATGATGTAGTCAAACCCTCTATTCTGTGGTCGTCCGACACACGCAATTCTGATGCACATGGAGATAGAATGTAACAAATCTGCGCTTCTGCAAGCACTTAAAGATGCCTGCTCCCGGTGGCGGCGTTTCTACACGCCACACTAAACATTAAAGAAAAAAAAAACTGCGTCTGCTCGAGGAGTCAGAAAGGCGTACCGTCACAATTACGTCAGGAAGATAATCGCAGCTGCCAAAGAGGGTTGAAAGACAAAGGAAGATCAAGTCGAAGATGTCGTGGTTATCTACGCTTCAGAACACCCTTCGAAGAGTAGAAGACATTTGAACGAGGGGTGACTCAATCTAATTTAGAGGACATCGACGACGAAGTGGCAGACACGTCAGGTGACGAATTCGACAAATATATCTGCTTCAAGTGCATCTGGGAGACCTAATTCGACCTGCCGAAGAAGACGAACTTGCGCCAGCAGGAAATTCCTTACCTCATTTTCGCAGCGCATCTCGCGCATGTCATTCCAGCAATAAGTGCACCAACAAAGAAAAACTTATCATTGGCGGGTCTTTTAATTAAAGAAAGCCTGAGTTCCTCTATCATTGACAATATCTTGTTCCTGCAGGGGAACCTTGTCAAGTGAAACGGGACGTGTGGTACGTTGTGGTGAGTGATCGCCTTTCCTCTTTTGCTTTTGAATTGCGTGACCGAACTAAATTTTCATAATGTAGTATTTATTTCTGTTAATTTTTATGTTTACAAAGTATGCGTCTGCGTAAAATAAGTGTTACAAAGCAAAACTAAAAAATGAATATATATATATATATATATATATATATATATATATCTTGTGACGAAGAAGAAGATGCGGCAAGACGACGATTTTCCTTAGGGTCCTTGCAGGAGACCATGATGCAAGAACATTCCTGGGTTGAAATCTTGTTGGAATTCATGTTCACTTTCATTTACTTTTGTTTTATGCATTTTTATGTGCAAAGGCAGTGTTTTCCAGAACGCTAGATCTTTGCGTCACAATTAAGTGTGCCAGCCGCACAAGTCGCTGGTGCTCAATTTTTGTACATACCGGTCTTCACTCAAACCTAGGACAAGCCTCAAGGATTTGATTTTGCTCACTGGAATGGCTTCTGCAGTCACCGTCAAGCCCACTAAGGCGGCTCAGAAAAAAAAAGTTAGTCTGAGATCTAGGATGACGTTAGCAAAGAATCGCTTACATTAAAAACAAATAAGAAAAATGGCACAATGTGTGACCAGCAATACCGCAGACGGCTTATTAAAATTAGACTTCATCGTTGTTGTTTTTGTTTTTTTTTAAGGGCAACTCTGCTCAATTACAAATACTTTCAGATGATGAGTGATTTCGCATTAAAAAGCACTAGTAAAACCACTACATCATTTGCTTCGCGAAAAATGGGATATATATTTTTAAGTCCCATTTTAAACACGAGTAAAAATTGAAACCGAAACTCCGGCTACGTCTGGCAACATTGGCCTCGGGCCGCCAAGAACATGGCTATCACGGGGTACAAGATGTCACGTGATCCTCTACACGACAACGGGCGGGATTGGAATTGTGGCGGGCGTGTGCCAGGTGCAAGAGTTGCCTGCACCACAATCTTCACCAAGTTTTGGTGTCTACAACATTTGACGACGTCTGCCCAAGTATGGCATAAGTCTGCGCACATAGTGGATCTAGCGTGGACTAAATTTCGAGAGACAATAATCACAAACAGGAAGCCGACGACGGCGGTTGCGACGTGGGAGACGGCGGTAACGGCGGGGCGGCCGGACGGCTCCCAAGAAACGTGTTGCGCAGGCGTGTTACGCCAATCACGCGGACACTGCTTAGCGCCGAGAGGAAATGTTGCTGACGTTACACATTGCACTTGGCCGGAGAAGTAAAAACGGGGCAATGGTGATGACGTTTAGTTCAGTGTTGGCTACGCCTACGTCGTAGCCTTGACTGCGCTGTTGGTTTCCGCCTTAATTCGTCCGCTCAAGTCAGCCAATTTCGGCAATTTGGCGAGCTGCAAAGTTTGCCGGTCTCTTTAAGAAACCTTTAGAGAGAACTAGGTCATAATATTTGACGTGTGGTTTTCCTAGGCTATACTGAAGAGGACTGCGTTGGATTTTCATAAACAAACATGAAGCGGAGTTGCCCTTTAATACGCCGCTAGGATTTCCAACTATAATGGTATCAAGTGCAAGGACCCCATATGTATTCAATTTACACTGTTTAAAAGACGGAGGAAAGTTAACGAAAGCGTGAAAGGGGCCGTGCAACAATTTTTGGACTATGGTCAAATAATTGTGGTAGCTGTTTCCTGCCCTGTCTGGAGCAAAGTAGCTGAAAAACAATTTTGCTTCTGCACGTAGGTTTGTTTTAAAAAAAATTAAAAAAACTGACATAGAACTGAATATAGTGCCGTCTTTTTTAATGATGTGAGGCTTTTTAGACATTTACACGCGTTGAAACGATTATATTTATGAAAGATAGCACTAGATATTGTGCACATAGTAGCTCATCTTGCCAACTTATTACTATATACCGAGGTTGGTATCTGTTATCATGTCATGGCCGCCACGTGCAGCTGTAAATATCAAAATCCTTCTTGTTTTTTCTTTGCTTATACACAATGGAATTGTAATATTTCACAAGGATGAGAAAGTTTCGATAAACCTCGTTGTAAGGTAACGTAAAAATTTTAAAGAACTACAAATTCTTTCGGACCTAATATTGTAGCATTGTCCTTTTAAGCGTTGGGTGCTGAGCCCCTGAGCACTACACTGTACTGCCAGGGTACTTCACCAGTGAGAGAGCAGAGGCACCTGCTGAAGACCTCCCTCACTGCGTTAGCCCTGTCGCCAGGCAGAGCCCCGCAGATGCAACCTACGTCTCATAGGGCAGTGCCATCACCTACATCAGCTCTCCAGCCACCGCTCACCACGCCACCCAAATGGGTCTCGTTGTCTAGCGTAGTTTTGAGGGCAGTAGCGGCGATGTCCCTGCTCACTCTCATCACACACCCTCAAGTAGTTGTGCAAGTTGATGCATGCCCAGACAACGGCCTCCAGGGTTTCCTCAGAAGCCTGAATCGGTTGTCTGAAAATGCGTCACCTCGCCACCAAGATGCCAGAGGCATTCTCAATGGTCCTCCTCGGTCTGCCCTTGCCCTGGAGAGTCTCTAGTTAAACATTCGAAAGAGAAACTATAGTTCTCTCCTGGAAAAAGGGCGCATGGGGTTAGGGAGCAGGGGGAACGCCTCATCGCCCACCCTTCAAAAGGCAGCCTGGTTTTTGCTTGGGGTGGGAGCCCAGCTGGCAGGAGACCAAGTTCCCCCAACAGCATAGACCGCCCCATTTCAGACTCTCTGAACACCCCCCGTCACTAGACCGCCCCGGCTGCCCAACATCTACGAGAGGGAACTTGTAAGTGGCATCGCAGCTGGCCGTGAGGGCAGTGCTGCAGAACCCTTGTAGTTGAAGGTGTCGGAGCCAGCACCAGATAGGGCCTGGATGGCCACGTGCTTGCCATCCAGGGCTCCGACACAGTTCGGGAAGCTCCACAGCCTGCCAAACTCTGCTGCGATCCGCTCCCACTGGGCAGTGTTGGGGGCCTAGAACAACAGTTGACCAAGCCTTAGTCAGAATCACACAAACACCACCTAGACAAACCAAACTCCTCAAATCCAGAAGTGTCAGGTGTTACACCATTTACACATTTTTTTCGTAGGAAGGCATAAGTTCCATGATTACTAAGATGTTTTTCAAGTGATCCTAGCACAGCACTCATAGTCCGTGTTCCCAAATTGACTCAATCTCACTCTAGTGTAAAGGTTCTGTACCTAGTGTTGGAAAACCCAAGCGCGCCCAGCGATTCTTTATCTGTCTTGTCCCGTCACATGATCTGCTGCATTAACTCGTATCCATTCGAGTTAGATTTGGGAAACAGCCGTAATACTGCATTGGTCGCAATTATTTGCAGCTGATAGTTCACAGAGATTCTACGCTTTACACAGTGAACGTTAAATCCAAAGTATTCATAAATAGCACAAGCCAGGTCCTTAATTTCTGGTAAAGAGATGCAACCATAACTGTCTTTCACTTTACCTTCTTGATTTTATTCACTTCACTTCACCACTGTGGTTTGCACACTAGGTTGCTTTCTGCTTTTATTGTATCTTCAAGAGTTTTGTGAAGCAATAAAGGGCCATGCAAAGACGTTTTTACTGGTTTTTAATTTGCACCGAACTTGAGCGCACTGGAAGTAGCAACTTAGTGAAACTTTTCTTTTCTCGAAATTCACTTTATTTTAGAAGTTATAGGCAAATTAAAATTACAAAAACAAGCAAAAAATAACCGCCCTCGTGACGCCCTTGGTTGCTTCGGTGGCCGTGAACTAGAGGAGGGGTAGTGAGCTCATCGAGAGCTCACGGCTGCCGCAGTCCATGTCGACGGCGCGAGAGGGCGCCACTAGAGCATGTTCTGGATAGGTCGTATGCAGCGGGCGGCCAGAGCGGCTTTCATTGCATTTGCTGCGCGATTAAACACTAATTCGGCATGACACTTCATGGGCCACAAACGACAGCAAACACGGGGTAAAGATCAGTTCAGAATGGGAGCCACTTCGAGCTGCCTTACCGCGAAACAGCCAAACCGCAAGACAAAGCTTCTCGCCGAAGGCTTTGGGAACGTTCGGAGCCGGTCGGATCCTCCTGTCCATACGACCGCAGCGCCGCCACGTACATCCTGAACCTTTCCGTGTCGGCGCCTGATCCCACTACCCCTTTCTAGTGTGCGCCGCCTTTTCCACCACTTGGTGGCGAGTATCTCCACGAGTCATTTCTTGTTTCCGTACTTTATAAACTGCATTCGTTTCTTTTCTGATCTAAAATACTGAACAAAAACTTTCGTTTATAAATAATTGAAACGGTTCACGCCACTTATATTTTGCATTTCGACTAAAAAGAAGCTTTTAGCGGCTCTGACCAGTAGTAAGCCCAGGACCATAGACGTCACAATTCGCGCGCTTTCGGTACCGCGGGTCGCCCTCGTCGGTGAAGGAGGTTTTCGCGTCGTCCGGTTAAAATATGACGCACTGATATTTAGTTACTCTCTTCGTGCCTGCTAGCTTGCCCGAACCCCAAGAGACGTGGAAACCGAAAAAAAAGGTAGACGCTTAAATACGATTGCAGGGCCCCTTTAAGATCATAGCCATGACATATTGGCTCAAGATAAGGCTTTTGCTGCACAGGGAAATTATGTTTCTGGATAAATGGCTAACTTGCAAGACCTAGCATGTGTCTTTGATTTACTTTTTTAGCTCCTAAGGCGACAAGGCACTAGACGCTACCTGCTCAATAGACTAGTCGTGTGTCTACCTTTCGTCGCACGATCATGCTCCCTTCTGTGCCCACGAGCAGAGATAGCGGTCGGGAGACGAAAGGGCGGCGGTTGATTTTTCTGGCAAGCATGTAGCTCCCACCATACTGCCAGCTTAGGGGTGGAGGAAGTGTAGTGCAGCACATATATGATGGAGCATAAACACCATTTTGCTTCTGCCACTAATGAAGGCTTTTTGTGGGTTTGCTCCTTGTCATCAACAGTCCCAGTGGTCAGCATTTCTGGGAAAAGAAAATAGTGCAGTAATGGCAGTTTGTACTTTGTAGTTGACTACACCTTTGCTCTGCGAGCAGAGAATACCGCGGGAAGGCTAGAAAAAGATGCAAGCTGAATTCAGGGAAGTGCACAACGAAGTACAAGTGGCTACAAAATACAGAACCAGGGTCGCTCAAACAACCACCAGAACTATATTGGAACGCTCAGCAGTGCTGGCGATGGAATGCGCAGCACACTCCAGACATTCACAAATTACAGGCAGCATGTTGCAATTATCGGAAGAAATACGGACACATTGCCAAGGCATGCAGTAAGAAGCGGAAGGATACGAAACATCCGCACACGAATTACAGCATCTATCTATAACAGCACCAGCTGCAGACAGGTGTGACACAATAGTCATGCACCGTCCCTCACTGGCTACGTCAACAGTGTACAAGGTGAACACCGTGACAAATACTACCAATGTGCCGACCCTATTGGAAAACCCCAATATAAACAGCGTATTATGGATATTGGTAAACAATATTTTTATTGTATACAATACGATATGGACAGTGTATTGGAAAACATTACATTTATTGTATTGTATTACAATAAGGGTTTGTTATGGGATTCCAATATCCATAATACGCTGAAAACATTGGAATCCAATACCGTATAAACCCTTATTGGATCCCCATGTGTCTCTGGGGATCCAATAAGGGTTTATGATTTCAGTGTACTTAGCGTATTATGGATATTGGAATCCAATATATTATATAGGCTACCAAGAAAACTATATACAAGTTGGAAAATCACGTTCAGAGCGACATCTCTCCGCAACGCAGTCTCTTCTTGTGTGTATTCCTGAGTGATAAATTAAAAAATGTTGCTGTTGTCAAATTATGAATAAAGAAGCAAAACACTGGGCTTATCCATACCAAATATATTTAACCTATTCCTGAACTGGAGGATTTGGCATTTACTGCAAAAGAAAGTTAATTGTTTAGGACCCTCATTCAAAAACTTGCTGTTTGAAAACAGAATGTGAAATCCTTACCTTTTAATGAAAAGAGCACCTGCTAGCTGTAGCCATATAGAAACTGCAAAATAAAAATTTGGGATTAGTTTGCAACAAGTAGCAATCCTTCACTAAGCCGGATAGATTCAAAATTATGCCTGCGTTTGATTGCGAAAAAATACGCTTTCATTCCACTGCCACGGGTCATTCTGAGCTCGGTCAATTAAATATACCTATCCGCTCGCCTGGCTTCACAGTTCCTGCTTTGCACCTAACTAAAGTACTATCTGGAATGCTCACCTTTGAGGAAAAACGAACTGGTGCTTGCTTGCTTGTTGGCCGTGGAAACTGGGACAAACTGGGAGAGAGATTTGCGATTAGTTGCGTTCAAGTAGCAGTTACATTGAGTAGCCCCGTAAAGTACACTAAGTCGAAAGGATGGAAGCTTGGGCGAGTTGGTGAACCATACTTGACGGCGACAGCGCAGGAAAGATCAATCTCACACCAGACACTCAGGAAGACAAGAACACGCGCTGAATTGACAACTCTTGTGTATTCGAGTGCTTCATTTCTCTCTTTAACGTCTGAGTTGACTTTTCAGAACGTGAGAAGTAGAAGAAGTAGCACAAAATACAAACGAAATTCTAAAGAGAAGGCAAAAGAACAGTAAAAGAGAAGACAAATGAAGAAACGGAAAAAATATCTAAATGAAACACTTTTACAAATCGTCCCTCTTTCTCATCCCTATCATTTAGATATAAATTGGAGCTCTTTGGTCGACAGCGCTATAAAAGGACTACTTACACACTTGTCCTTCAGCTGTGCTATCCCTTTTGCTTCCATTATTTCGCTAGTCAATGTGTCTCTACTCCTACCTATTACAGAACAATTTTCAAAATGTGCTATACAGCCACAATCGCGACAATGGATTCCCAAGTGTCCAGCTACGACTCAGTGGGCGTTATAAAAATGCTCTCTTAAACGATCATTCAAACACCTTCCAGTCTGGCCTACATACTCTTTACGACATGAGAGTGGGATAGAACATATGACTCCTTCAGTACAATTTACAAAGCTCTTTTGGTGCTTTTTCGAACAACCAACTTCCCGGTGTGCCGATCTGTTTACCTTCCTGCACAGGCTTAGAAGCTTATTTGGTACTGAAAAAAGCAACATTAATGTTAATGCAGTTACTTATCTTTTTTAGACCGTGCGAAACTTTATGTATATATGGAACAACGGCGTCCTTTCCTTCTCTGTATTGCCTTTAGGTCATTCACCCCATCTTATTCTCTTTAATAAATCCTCTGCCACGGCTGTAAGTAATGCACTAGGATATCCTGTTGACTTTAACCTGGCGATTTGAGCATCAAAGCTAACCTTAAGTGAATGAATACAAGACTTATTAAGCGCACTGGTGAGACATAATTTAACAATGCCTCGCTTAACAAGCTATGAGTGTGCTGACTGAAAATTAAGAAGAGGTTTCTTCCCTCTCGGTTCGTATGACCAACATACATGATGCTCCGAAAAAATTAATCTGAGGTCCAAGACCCGCAAGGAACCTTCTGTGGGGAGCTCATGAGTGATTTCTAGTGGATCTATACAGGATTTAAAACAAGAAAGAACGAGACCAATATTTGAAAGTCATTTGCTGCACAATCTAGCACAATCAAAAAATCATCAACAAAGCGAAACACCTTCACAACAGTAGAAGCATCCAAGCTACGTGAAAGGATCCAGCCCCGATGCTCGAGGTAAAGGGTACTGAAAACTGGTACTATGCATGAACCAATGCATACCCCTGCTTTATGGAGAAAGGTGCTACCCTCCCAACATGCAAACATAGCTTTTAAATATGGGGTGAGCAATTCAAGGAAACCACCTTGGGAAATTCCTGACACGGTCTGAAAAGCAATAAGTCTTGTATTCATTCACTTAAGGTTAGCTTTGATGCACAAATCGCCAGGTTAAAGTCAACAGGATATCCTAGTG